GCTTATGCAAGCTAGTGGATTCAACACTAAGTTAGACTGAGGAAAATTCTAAGGCCTACAAACCTCTACAATGGAAGGTGCACTGGACTATTCTATAGTTTAGAGGCACACACAGCCTATAAAGTAAGACACTCCCAAACACTAGAAAAGAAATAATTTATCCCTCCCCCCGGAAAAAAAAAAAACAGTTCACGAACAGGCAGAACTTAAAGTTTCAAAAGGTACACAGGTGGAAAAAACACCTATTTGAATAAACATAGTTGGCAGGTCGAAATACAGGCTGCAGATTGTTGTTATGGTCAGGACTCTAGTCGCTCTTTGAAAAAAAGACCGACAATTACCTCTGTTGAAAAGCAGGTAACTGTCCCTGATGATGCCAGGTTCCTGAAATGAGACGTCAAAGGTAGAAGAGAGCTTCCAAGCTATTCTTAGCAGACCCACCACCACCCCACACACTGTACAGGGGAAACTAGGCTCAAACATTCGTCCAACGTAATCCTGTAATCAGCGGGGAGCTGGGAGCCTGGAGCCCAGCTCCAGGTCAGAGCTCTGTACCCTCACCCTTCTCATCCCCAGATGGGATGGGCGGATCCGGAGGAGGAGCGACGAGAGCACAGGAAGGCGTGAAGCCAGAGATGGACTCCCGTCTCTAGGACATACATACAATATAGGCGCAGTCGCGCCTGCCTTACTTTCCTAAAGCTGCATCCTCTCGTGAGATGAGAGGAGCGAATAGGCCCAGGCTCTGCTCTGGGTGGAAAGGCAGCACCTGGCCCTACCCAGGATCAACGCCTAGCCTCTTGGAGGTCCCGCCTCCCGGGGACCTTCCAGACTGGTCGGCGCTTCCGCGACGCAACCCGAAGGGCGGGGACCGCCAAAGGAGTGAGTGACTTAGGCATCCAGCGCACTGCCTGATCGGAAATTACGGACCCGAGTTGTACCCCTCCTTCCGACCTTTCGCTGGAAGCGCGTCACAGAAAGCCAGGGAACCTACATACGGCGGCTGGGCTGCGGAGGTGGGTCGGGAGCTCCGTCCAGGGCCCGGAAGATATCTGGGCTGCTGGCGCTTGCCGCTGCCCGCCCCTTCCGGCTCCGCCCTATAGTGCGTAGGACGAGGAGCCGAGGCGCTTGGAGCCATCGCGGCGAGGACCATGTTGCTTCCGAACATCCTGCTCACGGGTCAGGGCGCGCGGGCGAACGGGGCTGGTCGGCGGGTCAGGCAAGGGACGCCGAGTGCTCTGGGGCCTCGGGCACCCCAGCGGGGGCCCACTCAGGGTTCTGTTTCGCCGCTAGCGGAGGGCTGCGTGGCGGCACGATTGTCAGGGCCCCGGAAGCAGGCCCGCGAGAGGCGGGGGGAGGGGCGCCGAACGTTAATTCCGTTGGCCAGAAGCTTCTCGGTGAGGCGGAGAGAGAGGTAGACGAATCCGGCTCTCCTGTCGTGCAGTCTGCTTGATGTCTCAGAATCTAGTTTTTTTGTTTATAAAATGGGCTGTTGGTTCTTTGGTAGGACTGGCTCTGGGGTTTTTAGCGAAGTAATGTAAAGCAGCGTCAGGCTTTTAGGAGATCTGGGCCTTCTTGGGCTCTATTTTATTTTCCTTTGCATGTGAGAAACGCCTGCCAGATCAGACCTTGGTAAATAAGTTAAAATGTAACTAATTTACTGTTAATGTTTGTTGAGCTAGTGTCAGAGTTTTTTTGTTCTTTTTTTTTTTAAAGAAGGCATCCAGTGTGCGGTTTTGGTGGTTTCTCGTGTAGGAATGCTGTAAAGTTCCCGGTGGAACGTGGGGGTACTTCTGGGTCTTTGGAGCCATACTTCCGAGTGCTTGTTATCAGTGAAGGGAACTAAAGTGCTGCGTAACGACTCCAAAGAATATTTTTGCTGGCCATTTAGCCCTGAAAATATTTATTAAATTGTAGCAATTATGGCATTATAGGTCATCGTGGAAAAATCTAACAGGTGTGGATGCTGTTGCAACGTGTAGAAAAATTAAGACGCTCTTTGTGGAAACAAAACAATAAAAGTTTTGTTATTTAACAAGACTTAAGGTTGTTGGCAGCCTGCAAATTCTGAGAGCAGCAGATTAACCACCTAACAATTAAGTATGTAGCTTTTAAAATTCCTTAAGAGGAAGATTTTACAATATCTTATTTGCATGTGTCAGACATGATGTCATGGTTTTTTAATAGTAAGTCATACTATCAAAACTCAAGAGTGAGCATTTTATCGAAAACATGTTGAGTTCAGCGTTCAGACTTGGTGTATTATAGAGGAATTGAGATTGAATATTATTCATCTGCATAGTGAGACTTGATTTATCTTTGCTATCTTTAATTATACTCAAACTTAATAATTAGAATGGCATTAAACCTAAATAGCTGAAAATTATGCATTTTATTATCTCGAAATGTAATAGGTATAAAAAAGGGTGAGTAAAGAATAATGGCCATTTATGTAAAAGGGAGCATATGTTGTATTTATATATGTACATATATACAGTGTGTTTATGTGTATATATGCACAGAGTATACACAAACACATGCATAGAATTTCTTAGGAAGGATATACCTGTGTAAGAAACTGGTTTACAGTGGTTGCCTTTAGGGAAGGGCATAAAGAGTCAGTAGTAGTAGTGAGACAATCTTATATAATTAAAGCAAATAAATGACGGTAATTGATTTGAGGTGGCTAATTTTATACTGGGCAGTTCCATGGTGGTGGCAGGCAATCTGAATTGGCATCAGAATCTCCCGAGTCCCACCCCGGAGAATCAGATACACTGGGTGAGATTCTGATATCCAATTGGCTTTGGGAAATTTTTATTAGGTCATAATAAATATTCATATATGATTGCTAATTAGGAAAATTTTCATTTTAGTTGTCAAGAACTTTAAAGAGGAGAGAAGGTGGCTGAAGTCTAATAAGTGGTATTTCACAAACAGTGAAATTTTTTGTGGTTTGTCTTACAGGTACACCTGGGGTTGGAAAAACCACACTAGGCAAAGAACTTGCCTCAAGATCAGGACTGAAATACATTAATGTGGGTGATTTAGCTAAAGAAGGTAAGGGACACTCTGGTGTTAGATTTGTTTTTATTTTTAAAAAGTCAGTGGAGGCCGGGCGCAGTGGCTCACACCTGTAATCCTAGCACCCTGGGAGGCCGAGGTGGGCGGATTGTTTGAGCTCAGGAGTTTGAAACCAGCCTGAGCA